GAGGTCCCACTCGGCCCACGGACTGACTCCCGCGCCTGCGGCGCTCCTGCTCCGCCTCCAGGGCCTCCTGCTTCCGCTGCCGCTCCAAGGCCTGAACGGAGCCGTTGAGCCTTCGCCACCCCCGGAGAGAAAAACAAAAAACGAAGAAGAATCTAAGAAGTGTGTTTGCTTTTTTGTTACCGTTATTTTCCCCCCCCCCCCCCCCCTTTTTTTGGGGGTCGGACATGTTTGCCCCAAAAAAAACGAGAAAGAAAAACAGCAAAAAGAAGAAGTGCGTTTGTTTTTTTGGGGGTCGGACATGTTTGCCCCAAACAACCCGAGAAAAATCAAAAAGTGGGAGGTTGTTCGCACATGTGTCCCCAAAAAACACGAAGAAGTTGGGGGTGTTCGGATTTGTTGTGACCCGGTACCCGAAAGGAGCACTCGAAAGGGTGCACGATCCGTTCGATGTTGAACAATTCAAGGGAGAAAAACTAAAGAGAAAGTTATCCCAAAAGTGGGGGACATAACCTGGACAAGAAACAATTGACACCCACTCATCAGAAGCCACCAAAATGGAGAGAAAAAAAACACGTCTACCTCCCCCCCCCCTGTTGGAGTCCAGAACTCAAGCCACGCTCCTTGAGATGCGCAAACCCAAACAAGAATGTGTCTCGTCATTCTCGCTGAATCTCGCTGAGTTAAAGGCTGTTTGTTCCGTGGTGCTGCTTCGCTTAGATCACTGTCGTGTGATCAATCCTGTGGCGAAGACACTGCTGGGAAGGAAAGATGCCTGAACATTGGGTAAGGAGCTGGCTCTGTGTTGCAAAGAAAAGTTGTATGCCAGGCTGTCACAGAATTGGAATCTTCCATTGTGTTTTATTCTCTACTTCCATTTACTACAATGTATTTATACATGCCATACGGCCTCCTGTTGCTTGCTACTGCGTTGCCTTTTTGCCGGCAGTTGCCAATGGTGTAGCCCCGTCTCGAATACGCCAGAATTACCCAGCACATCCAATCACCTTACCCAATACCACGCACAATACAATTCAACCACAAGCCAATGCGGAGAAAAAGAAGATCATGAGACCCAAGCAGCGCGCCCTCTCCACATATATGGCTGTGGGTCAAAAAAACGGTACCCAAAATGGCTTGCCCTGGCAAATGGAAACATGGACATATCAAAGGCAAACTCCAACAGCTGCTTTCCCACCGCCACTGCGCCCTCCAACGCTCCAAAGCGTTGCGCCTCCCGTTCTTGGATCTGCTTGCGGCGCTCGCCTTGGGCGAAAGAACGGGCGAAAGAACGCGGCGACTCAATGGCGCTCGCGCGACTCGATGCATAAGACATGGAAGCTCCCAGGCTGATGGGGGAAGTATCGAACTATGGGTTGGTTGGACATTTTGAGGGAGGAAACCTGGAGGATGGCAACGACAACCGCGAGAACCATGGCAGGGACCGTAACATACCGTGAGTTGCTGATACCAAGTCTTTATTCCACATTCTTCCCTCACAGCAAGTTTCGCAGTCCTCCAACAATGCAAAGTTTTCAAACTGTCGGAGTTCTCTGAGAGACAGCTTCCAAAGATCCGGCGCCGCATTTGAGCTCTGCACTCTCCTGCTTGCGCTTCTCGATCTCCTCTTTGCGCTTGTGGATGGATGCAGTCTCCTCGTGGGGCCGGCTGGGCCCGACTGCAACTGCAAACGCCAAGCCGCCAGGGGGAAAATGGCACATGTTTTGAGTTTCTACCCCCCCAAAAAAAAAAGAAAGAAAAACAACGCTTACAAATGCTCTTCGTCGCGTATTGTCCCATGCCCTCAACGCCAAATCTACACATATCAGCACGCTTCCAGCCGAAAGCTCATGCACCATTGCTGTAGGAATTCCAGCCCCGTTTTTGGAGAGGAAAGGGCAAGCCCCACTCCCCACAGCGATGTCGGGGCCTTTTCCATGCGCTCATCGATGTCTTTCAGCAGCTCCCTACGACAAGCGGGTGCGGGTGCGAGACATTGGCGGCTTCGGGTGCGCAATTTAACCCCCATAACCATAACTACCCGAAAAGCAAACACTTGCCAAGAGGTGGTTGCATCAGGCTCCGGAAGCATTGCTACCTGCTACCTCAACAGTATCGGCTCCAGCGTCTCTCAGTCACACACTGCCACCCTTTTTCCAACAATCAGGAGGCCTATACGTTTTACTTCGGGACAATGAGGACCTTCACACGTTTGCCCGAGTGCCCCGGCTTCTTCTCTTCCTTGTCCTTGCGTTGAAGTTCCTCCTGGGGGCGAGCAAATCGGGAGCCACGATTTGCAACAAATACAAAACAACCAAAAAACAGGGCTGTGGGAAATGACCACTTCTGTGATACAACAAAAGGGTCTCCCAAAGACTACCACCCCCATTTAAACAGGGGATTCCCTATCACAGAAGTGGTTGGATAATCCCCGAGTGATCCCACAACCCTGACCAAAAAACCTCCATGCCACCGACTTCAAGGGACTCGGTTCCCCGGTTCCCACGGAAGTCGCCTGAAGTCGCCTTCACTCGGAGCAAGGGGTACGTCCATGACATGTCGCCTGACCTGACGGCTATTGCATAGGATACAAAAATCGCTTCTCCTGAGAAGCTGCTGGTTTTTAGTGGAATCTCCTTTGCTTGCTTGACGTGGGAAGGGGAGCAAAACATCACATTTCAGCAGTTAAGTGGGGATTTCAACCACTAAACCACAATCAGCAAAAATGTAAAATGTTTCTCAACAACAACCATGTTTGCGGGGAACATGGGGGAACTCTTTGTGGAATTCAATCTGCAGGAGAGTGCCTTCACCAACTGGCAGTGGACAGCTGCGAGGTAACCAGGCAGTCACTTCAGAGCTTTTTGGAGGGCTTCGGACCACTCTGATCTCCGAATTGCACGTCTGATCAAATGACTCTTTGGTTGAGACATCAATGCCTGATGTGAGCTCCCCAAAGGACACGAACCGATTCTTTCCTGCCTCTCCTTCCGCAACATTTCGGGTCGGTCAAAGTGCCTTCAGTGCAAAAAGGACACCGATGAAGCATCGTTGAGCAATGAGGTACTCATTTTGCGAGTAGCTTGCGCTGCCAATCCCACCCACTCCTTACCCGCTCCTCCATGTTCTGCATCCAAACGTCTCACAGTCCGTCAACCGGCAAACTCTTGTTGTGTTGAAAGTCCCGAGCTAGGTGGTCCCCATCAATTCACAAACCAACCTCCGGCCATGGATCCCTTGCAAAAAGGAGCAACATCCGCATGGCAGAAACTAGTCAGCGCCCAAAATCTCGCTCAGCTGTTGAGAAAAGCCTGCCAAACCGCTTTGCTGCTCAAAAGGGACCGAGTTAGTCTAGTGGGCTAGCTGCCGCTACCTTTCCTGAACTATGGCAAATCACGTGCAGGTTTCAAAGCCACGTTCCCAATTCCATAAAGAATGTGCTTTCCGGGTCCGTTCTATAATGTTCTATATCCTCTCGCAAGAGATTGAGTTGACATGGTTCAATTGTTTGTGTCCTTCCCCTTGGACGAAACATGTACTTTTAAACGTCTTATCTACGGCGTTGATGTCATCGTCGAGCTTCCTCATTGTTTGAAGTTGAGCTGTGTGCGTACAAGACCAACCGCCATATCAAACACATCATGCTCAAAGAGGGCATAGCAAGAAACGAGAGCCGTGCCACCGCACGGTTCGTCCTCTGTAAAGTCTAATTTTTATGTGAGCCAGCACCGGAGATATCAAAACCAACCAACCAAACAGGTCTGCCAGCCCCCCCCTCCCCGCCCCTCCTGCGCAACGCATTGCATGGCCTGAGGCGGGCAGTGCAAGGGACAACTCGTCTGCAGTGACTGGCGCCCTAATTGTCAGGGGGGCGGCCATCCAGCCAAGGTCACCGACAGCGGGGATGAGAATTCCAGAGGGCAAAACGATCAGCAGCACTGGGTCATGTTTGACCTGCAACTGGTTTGTCTTCTGGGCATGGCATGAGGGGCCGACACACAGAACGGAGGCAAAAACATGGAGCAAGTACAAAGTACAGAAGCCCGGCAAGCGAGCAGAGGAAACTCTGCACTCTGCTGCGAGCCGCCGGGGAATTCACACGCCGAGTGCCCGAGGCTTGGCTGAAGCTCCGGTTTTGAGGGCTTCCCAGATGCGCAGTCGAAACGCAGTCGAAACGCGGCCCACGAGTCCCGGGATCTCTTTTGCCAGGCCCAAGGGCCCCGGGCCTGCTGGAGCTTGTAGCCTCAGTCTTGCACAGGAAAACCCCACAGGCGCCAAAGCCAACTCCGCACGACCCTGGGACTCGCTGCAATCACTGCATAACTACAACTCCGCCATGCCCCAATGTTCCGATGCCCAGCTTGCGCCTTCGCAGCTGCTTTCCGCATGCACATGCTGCGGCATCACCGGTCCTTCTGGGTGAATCAAAATACTTCGCACGAAACCTCGGGAACCCCAAAAGCGGTGAGATGTCGCAACTGGCAAAAGCCGCAGCTCGACTTCCCAAGTGGCGTCTGGGTTCAGCATCCCGTCCCCCCGGGGTGCCGACCAATCTCGATGAGCGGCTGGCGCATGCTCTTCCTGAACGAAAGTCGGGCTGGACGCAAGCGCCGGGGACGAAACGGAAATCGACCCAATTTGCTCCCTGGCTGTACGGATAAATTGGGTAGGCTGGGTTTTGCAGCTGGATGGCAACGACTGGAAGGCAAGGCATGGCTACGGCAAATAAGTCAATGCTGGACACTTGCTTCTCGTCGAACACGTTCACAATTCAGCACGAGCCCCTCCCACCCAAAACCTGCTAGCCTGGGTCTCTCAGAACGGAGGCGGGCGCCATATCGTAGTTGCATCTCCGCGTTTCAACATCATCGTTCCACCCAAAGCTAGGGCAGGCCAGGTGATCTTTCACGTGACGCCACCGCCGATTGACTCATGGCCAAACCTGCCAACACAGCCGAACCTTCGCCCAGTTGCAGGGAACTTAGTGCAAAAAAATATGAGGTTCAAGAAGGGGAGGAAAAAAAGGGGGAAATCCACCAAGCAAACTCGGTGCCACTGGTGCCACTGAACAGTGTCCGCACAGCCTGAGGCCGAAGCATGTCCACTTTAGTGGCAGCCCCAAAGATGATGGCCTTCTGCATGTAGTTGATCTGGATGCTGATGCCTGGCCAAACAGCCTAGAAAAGGACAATCCCAATGGACTACGAGCTTCGGAAAGAAACAGTTTGTACCACTTGAAAGCTTGAAGGTCAACAAGAAATGAGACCATGACCTAGCTTGAGCCACGTAACCCGTCTGCAAGAGCCCAGCTAGTTTGGGCTCCGTGATTTTTAGGAAGATCAAACATTTTCCCGGTCAACGGATCCTTCATGAGGCGTGCCAACTGCAAACCAGGTCTATGTCTATGTTTGTTTTTTTTTTCCTATTTTTTCCTTCTGAGATTACATGCCGCGCTGCCTCGCCAGCAAACGCCCTTGGCTGCATTTTCGGCCATGCAGGTGGATGTGTCCTTGCCGAGTGGTCTGACCTTCGCTGGACGTTTGCGTCCGCGAGGTGAAAGAGGAGGCTGCGCGGCTGATGGCTTTCAGAGGGCTGCTGGATCCCTCGTCTACCTTGAGTGAGGTGGGTGTGCGAAATAGGGATGGCATCGCTGCAATCGCCCAGGCAAAGCCAGCTAGCACGTGGTAACTTGGGGTGATCCTGAGCAAGGCGGCGACAGCCGGGTGCGAGAGCAGCTAGTGGGCGTCCAGCAGATCCAAGCAACTGTCTGTGCTTTTGCTGCCGTTCGGATGGATGGCTCAGTGGAGACTTGGGGCGATCCTGAGCAGGGCGGAGACAGCGGCCAGGTGCAAGAGCAGCTCGTGCGTGTCCAGCGGATCCAAGCAACTCACTGGGCTTTTGCTGCCATACTGCAGGCGGCTCTGTGGTAACCTGGGGCGATCCTTGCGCGGGCGGTGAGAGCAGCCATGTGCGCGAGCAATTTGTGCAGGTTCAGCAGATCCAAGCAACCGGACGGGCTTTTGCTGCCATCCTGGCGGACGGCTCTGTTGTGACTTGGGGCGATCCTGACTATGGCGGTGACAGCAGCCAGATTCAGTCTCAAAGACAAAACCCTTTGCTCTGGGCGGGAAGCCTGGCTATTGAAATAGTATTGCCCTAGTAATTACTGACTCAGTCTGAGTCCAATTGGCTGGGCTCTGCGGACCGTATTTTGGAGAGGCCTGCTGGACGGGGGATCTATTCCCGGCATATGCATGCGGCTGTTGTTCGGATGGCTGAGGTTAAGACTCTGGAGAGTATGATGCGACATGGCTAGCTTCTGCTTGCTCATGCCTGGCCACTGCATCAAGTTTGTCTTGAGAATCCCGGCACCCCAAAAGCCGCTGCTTTGCTTGTCCCTTTTGGGCAAAGAATTCCCACCGGCAAATGGGTGTGGCTCACAGTTAAAGAGCTAGGGGTACGTACGTTTTAGTCTTTGGTTCCATTTGCCAAGGGTGCCGTTTTGGGTACATGCCTTTTTTTTCCAGCCACAGCGAAATGGACATGCACCCAACCTGACCTCTTGTTGACCTATCTACCACCAGACACCCCCCCCCAGACCCCCTCCCCCCCCCCGCGCGCCCTGTTGCCGGGAGGCGTTGGCCATCCAGGTCTCCGCGATGCTGAAGGGCCTCGGCAAATTTTGCGAAAAAGAAAAATCCGAGGTCCGGACACGGGAAGGTCATGTTGACCCCATATCAATCAACCCCATCCCCAAGGGTCCCACCAGCCCGCCGCGTTTCCGAGGCCAACAGCAGGCCAAGTTGTATGAAGTCGCAATTAACATGTCTCTGATCAACTTTGCTGAAAGCCCTGATTCTGGAGTGTTCATGCATGGATTATCTCTCTCTGTCTATTTCAACTCCTCTGAAGTGGCTTCAGCTGGCTTGAGGCTTTTAGAGTTGCTCATTTGGTCTCGACACCTTGAGGTTCAAAACCCGAACTGCCGATCGCCAACTGAGGGCCGAAAGCTTGCCGCTTGGCTCTTTGGCTTCTCTTGCTCTGGCCCTGCTTAACAGGGTGCCTGGCACTTGGAGGCTGCCAAAGGCTTTATGAACCCCGTGCAAATAGAACATCTGGTGCTCTTCAAATAAGCTCAGGTGATACCCCCAACAGCACGCGGTGCTCTTTTTAGTGCTCGCGCTACCCCGCAGCCCTCGCAGAACCTGGTGGAACCCTGGTGGAACCCTGGTGGAACCTTGGTGGAACCCTCGTGGAACCTTACCTCAGGGCCGCTTTGGACCACCCCGGAGCCTATCTGGGCTCATCGACCCCAAAGCTTTTTCAGCTCTTGGGGAAAAAACAACACCCAGCAGTTTAGCCTAAGCACGTGACACTTCGCCTCGAGTGGCCCATCCACTCCGAATCTGCACCAGCCAAGTGCCCAGCACAATGGAGGCCGCTTTCTCGAAGTCCTCGATGGTCATGCTGACATACACCTGGCGGAAGCTTTCGCGCTGCATGCTTTCAAAGCCATCCATTTTCCAGGACCGACTAAGCAACCACCAACCCTTGGTTGCTGTTGACCCCCCTGCAAAAAGTTGAACTTTTTGGGGGGTTTAGTAGAAACCCCCTTGATTTCCCAAAAAGTTAAAGTCTAAAGATCCAACCCAATAGCAACCACCAACCAGTCTCTTCATGTCACCGGGACTGTAAAAAAACAGAACACGACGCAAAGCTGCCCTCACAAGCCCCACATCTTGGGGCCGCTTTTGCAACACGGTGGCCAAATCAAAGGCACGGCCAATCACTTCCATGTACGTGTTTGACCCTGGAAAAATAAGAATATGTCTGGTAGTGATAGATTCCCTTTAAAACCAACAGGTGAAAATAAAACAAAAATATTCGTCTCAGCAAACGGAAGATTCGGAATGGGGGGGAAACCGCTTAGGTCCAAAAGGTGCCGTGCCTCTGAGAGCTGCTTAATGAGCCGGAAGAAGATGATCTGCTTCAGCGGCATGACCTCAGCTTGGGTCCATGGGCCACTTGGACAAATGAACCCCTGGGCCTGATGTTCATCCCATGTTCTCCCCAAAAGGTTTTTTTTGCCCCTTAAGTGGGTTGGAAACCACGGAAGACCAGGGGTATGGAGGGGTTATGAACCAGGGGTATGTGCGTCCACCCTTTGGGGTCTTCCCACCGGGCAAGGCATATCCCCCACGCTTCTTCGGAGCGCCACTCTGGCATGGCGGACGTGCGCTAGCAGCCGGGACTAGAAGCAAGCTGCGCCATGCCGCTCTCGGATCTCGCAGCGCCGCCTCTTTGAGGAGGCAGAGGCTAGGGAATCTGCAAAAAAAAAACGCAGAAAGCCAGAAAAAGCAGAAAGGCTAAGGAGGAAACGCAGAAAGCCAGAAACTGCCAAAAAAAAAGTAGCCCTCATTCCAAAAGCTGAATGAGGGGCCACTTGGAATCTGGACACGTGTCGCCATGAACTACGGAATGCCTTGTGCTAAGGCATCAACATAGTCCTTCAGCTTGCCATCGCACACATCCTCAGAGGCGATCTGGTCCAGGTAAGGCTTGGCATCCTGCACTGCGCACCCATCCGAGCACTGGCAGGCGAGGGGCCAGGCCGGGACCTACCCTCAAAACGGAGGTAGCACCCGGCCCTTTGGAGGGGGCCGGTGTGGCTCAAAATTGAACAGGGGGGCAAACCGCAGGTTTTGGCAACCATGTTTCCACTCGCCAGGGCAACCCATTTTGGAATACCGGTTTTTTGAGCCACAGCCAGCTGATGGGAGGGAAAGTGAATTGCTTGTGTAGCAAGCATTGCAGCACGCACAGCCCCATTTGGGCATGGCCTGATTCACCGATTGCCCAGGACTCAGGATTCTTGCTTCAAGGCGTTGGGCGAGTGACGTGTCGTCCGGCATGAGCCACCCCAAGTCAAGAAACCATCCTCCGCCGATGTCTCTAGCCCCTTCTGCTTTTCAGGCTGCGATTTTTGCAGCGAAGAGGCAGGCTTCCACTTGGTCAGAAAACCAGGGGTCCATAAAAATCAGCGCAAATTACCTGTCTTCCTTTTGAGAAGTCCAAACCCATGGACCCGTGGATGGACGAAATCCTGCGCCAGATTGGTGGCTTATCCCAGTATTCGGACGGTTTCATCCACCCCAACTGCTGCCTGGCGCGGATTTTGTCCATCCGCATGACCTCTTTAGCACCCCCGCCACGCCTGGCACAAGGACAGAGGGGTGAAGTCGGACTCCACCTGGAGGCATGTGTTGGCTCAAAGAACTTGCACCCAAAATGGCACCTTGGTAAATAAGACCCCTCATCCTGCGTGGCCCCTCTTGAAATGCTTGAGCCACACCCAAATCTCACCAACCTTGAGGCTGGTCTCTATGTCGGATGTCTTCCCTTTGGAACCTTCAGGGCACCCTCCAAACAAAATACCCATGTAGCCCCACTGTTAGGGCGTGCCTGCTAACACTGCACTTCACTAGGTTGCTGTTGACCCACCTGCAAACAGTGAATCACTTTTTGGGGGTTTAGTGGAAAACACGACTTTATTTCAACCAATAAGTTAAAGTCTAAAGATCCAACCCAATAGCAGTCAAGTTCAAACCCCAGGATTCACGCGGGGAACTTGGACCCAGAAAGCCCTCCAAATCTTCCCTCAACATTTGAACTTCACTGCTTGGTTGCTGTTGACCCCCCTGCAAAAAGTTTATTTTTTGGGGGGTTTGGTGGAAAACACCTCTATTTCCCAAAAAGTTCAAGTCTAAAGATCCAACCGAATAGCAGTCAAGACTGGGGCCATACCCCCCCAATATCGAGGCGACATTGGCGTCAGGTGGACCCGACTTTTGGGAAAGCGTCTTTGATCGACCCGGAACTGCCATGAGCAGGGGGCTTCTGCCAAGTGCCTTGATGATGTGATGCTATTCCACCAGATTTGCGGCCTTGATGTCTGCATATGATCATTACGTTGTGCTCTGCATGATCGGGTGCGTGGACATCTACACATTCTTGTTTAACCAGCCTCCCCACAGTTGCTGCGCTGCAAACACCGCAAGAAAAGGTGCAAGAGGCCAAGCCACACCACACAACAGCCACGCAGATCCTCATGCACATGCGATCACATGCGCGTATACGCATGCAAGCTCGTCCAGCGATCATTGCCTCTCTCATGCTAACAAGTCCCCAGGCAAGTGGCCGCCATCACTGATCTACCTTCCCAGCCTGATCTGAGTGAATCATGATGTTTCACCCACCTGAAATCATATGGTTGGGGGGGGTATTCCCCACATCAACCACCATCTGGGGTGAGTTCGGTCGTGTGAGGTCGTTCTAATTCACCCAGCCTTGCGGATTCAGTGTCCCTCAGAGTTTTTGGGAGGGGGGGGGGGCAGGCTTCTACTTTTTGACTACTGGCAAATAGACTTATATAAACCCAACAGTTTCCTGTTCGGGGTACATGACCCACCCCTGGGTTTAAGTCTATTTGGCCATGGGTCAAAATGCCGTACCCCCAGTGAGCATCCCAATCCCCACTAAAATAGACTAAAATGGGTGGTACACCTACCCCAAACTGGTACCAGTGGCTTTGAACCACGGCCATCATTTGAGGGTAGTCAAAAAGTAGAAGCCTGGGAACAGGAACAAGCTATGAGCCCGGCCAGCGCGAAGAGCTTGGCGCAGGGCTCCGCAGACAGGGCCAGCCTAAAATTGCGAGGAGAAACACCGTCTGGCATCCACTAGGTCCACTAGGTCCTCTAGATTTGAGAGGGTAGAACTATGTAGAACTTGGTACCCGATTTGTTGTCGTCTATTTTAGTAGGTAAACCCTCCCCCAAAAAAGAAACGGTACAAGGGCACACTACTGGGGGACCCAGTCCAACTCCACCACTTTAGCCTGACAACAAGATCCGATGGCCATCTCATATCATGGCGACTATTACCCCACTACAAGTTTAACTTTTGTGTCGGTGGGAAACCAACAAGGAAGGGTTAAGGGTTGGTTGCGCTCTCTCTCTCTCGAGAAAAAAACACTTTGCAGCTAAGGAAGGAGTAAGTGTTGATTGGAATCTTTTGAGTAATTAAGTTGGTGGCTAGCTGGTTTCCTTTCAAGATTGGCAAGAGGATGTTTCACAGCTGGCGCCAAATCTGCCCACATGGGCTTCTGAGAGCCTGGCAGGTTCTTCTCTGTGATCTGGCCTTAGGGGCCAGCCCAAGCGAAGCTGGCTATGTCCTGATTGCTTGCATACAGGATGCCACAGATATTCTTCTGCCTTTGATGAACAGCACTGGAACAACAAGCTAGTGGAACAACAAGCTAGTCGATGTGCGCGCGAGAAAGATACTTTGAAATCAGCAAACAAGAGATGCTTAACGATCGAGGTCAGCTACGTGGACTGTGTGGACAATGACTGAAAGTTTTGCAAAACTAGGGATGCAAAAGTCAAAGCAGCTTGTGTCAGTCACCTTATGGCAGGCTAGGGCCATGTGCAAAAGGAAGCCAACATGAAACCAATCTGTTGGCAGCAGCTCTTGCGCTTATTTTGACGGCAACCACTGCTTATTTGGTGGAGGTGCTGTGCATTTTGGATAGGCCAACTGTGGGGTCACTTCCAAAGGCGGCGGCTTCCATCACTGTTCGATGCTTCCGTAAGCACCTCCCCCAGTGGGGCCCTGGCTGCTGATGGAGTCCCTTGTTGGCACCTTGCAATATCTGCCCGGCGAGGTGACCGATTGGGGGGACTAGGGGTGGTGGGTCGGTGGTAGGTGGTGGGCCCACATGGCAGGTGAGCAACCAAAACCTGTCGGAAAGGCGCTCAGCCAGTTCCGCGGCTTGTGCTGGCTGAAGAAGCACAGACAGGCAAGAATGTGTTTGGCTTAGAAGGCCAAACAGGGACCCTTACATTATACACCTCAACATTGCCTTGGAAATTTCAAATGGGCAGAACGCGGAACTGCTGACCCTCTGGACAGTGTATTATCCCGGCAAGAGACCCCAAATGTATTGCGTCCAACTTGACGACAGGTGGCCCAAAAGCATAGAAAAACATTAAATAAACACTGACGCCTCTCCTACCTGATGAGATCGTAAACACGTCGGTGCCCCTGCTCAAGCGTAGATTCTGATGAGCAAGCTTAGCATCATGCTTCACAATCTCTCCGGTCAACTTCTCGCGCGCGTGATGCTGTGGCTTGATGTTGCGCGCGAAGCTGTGCGTGATGTTGCTCGCGATGTCGCATGACGTTGCGCGCGATGCAGCGCATGATGCTGTGCATGATGTTCTGCAACCTCTCTTGCAAAATCTTTGATGTCCTCTCTGACCCGACAAGAAGATATCACCGCGTGGCGGCCCTGCCGTCAAAAAACGCACTTTGGTCTCAAAAAAACGCGTTTGGCACGAGGCTTCCTCAAACAACACACTCCGCGTCGCAGCGCGAACCTCCGTGTGACACGCCCCTGCCAGCAAAAAATGCATTTTGCTTCAAAAAAACGTGTTTGGCACGAGGCTTCTAGCGCGTACCTCCCAACTGTTGCCCCTGCCAGCAAAAGCTGAAAAGTGCGAACGGCACCACAGCAAGACGCACGCAAAGGCGGGCACCTCCATTTCGTGCGGGACTGTCGCATCGAAGAAAACTTTTTACGCACAGCAATTTCAGCCGACCCCTCGATCTACACCAGGCTTTAACTCTTACCGTAAGAACCCCTTAGTGTAAACACTATCTGGGGAACAAGTAAATAGGCCTAGTTGCCCAAATCACGTGCCGTCTGAAATTCTCAAGTTACGCAAGCAGCGGAAAAGACTCTGACTTTTTGGTTTTTCACACGTGCCTGCGAAGGGCAGCATTCTGAAAGCTAACAGTCGGCTGTGGCTCTATCCTGTTTGTTGTCACCAACCCTGCCTCCCCCGCCCCAAACCTCTTTCGGGGCGAGCTCTTGCGATGCGCCTTGAAAAACCTCAAGCCAAAGAGTGGAAAGGGCTTCCGGAAGGCGCCAGACTGCTCAGCCTGGGCTGCCCTGCGCTCTGGGCACTGAACAGGAAGGCGTTCTTCTTCGCCTGCGGAGGGCGCCCCCAACGACAATTTGTCACGTTCCGTTCGAAACCCGCTTTGAGGCCTTTTGAAGAAATCCCTTGAAGCGCTCCAAGCTTTGCATTTGAAGGGCTTCCAAGACACCTTCCTTCCTTCCCTTCCCTTCTTCCTTCCTCTTCCTTCTGTTCCTCTTTCCTTCCCTTTCCTTCCCTTTCCCTCCCTTTCCTTCCCTTTCCCTCCCTTTCCCTCCCTTTCCCTCCCTTTCCCTTCCCTTCCCTTTCCCTCCCTTTCCCTTCCCTTTCCTTCCCTTCCTTCCCTTCCCTTCCCTTCCCTTCCCTTCCCTTCCCTTTCCTTTCCTTCCCTTTCCTTTCCTTCCCTTTCCCTCCCCTTCCTTCTTTTTCCCTCCCTCCCCTTTCCCTCCCTCCCCTTTCCCTCCCCTTTCCCTCCCCTTTCCTTTCCCTTTCCCTTCCCTTCCCTTTCCTTTCCTTTCCCTTTCCTTTTTTCCCTTTCCTTTTTTCCCTTTCCTTTTTTCCCTTTCCTTTTTTCCCTTTCCTTTTTTCCCTTTCCTTTTTTCCCTTTCCTTTTTTCCCTTTCCTTTTTTCCCTTTCCTTTTTTCCCTTTCCTTTGTTCCCTTTCCTTTGTTCCCTTTCCTTTGTTCCCTTTCCTTTGTTCCCTTTCCTTTTTTCCCTTTCCTTTTTTCCCTTTCCTTTTTTCCCTTTCCTTTTTTCCCTTTCCTTTTTTCCCTTTCCTTTTCCCTCTCCCCTTTCTTTTTCCCTTTCCTTTTCCCTTTCCCTTTCTTTTTCCCTTTCCCTTTCCGTTTCCCTTTCCCTTTCCCTTTCCCTTTCCCTTTCCCTTTCCCTTTCCGTTTCCCTTTCCCTTTCCCTTTCCTTTCCTCCTCTTCCTGTTGTTTGACCAAACTCTTGCTTGGACACCAGCCTCGACAAGGACACTTTGCCCGAGTGGTCTAAGGGGGTGGACTCAAGTTCCACTAGCGCAAGCTGCGCGGGTTCAAATCCCGCAGGTGTCATTTCGTGTTACTTGTTTTGAACAATGGATTCAGCAGAAGGAGGAGAGGGAGAGGAGAAGGAAGAGGGGAGAGGAAGAGGGGAGAAGGAGAAGGAAGAGGGGAGAAGGAGAAGGAAGAGGGGGGAAGGGAAAGGGAAAGGGAGAGGACAACAGGAAGAGTGAGCAGCACATGGATGAATCTTGGGCCAGCGTCAAAACAGAGCCGTTTCGCCTTCTCGTACTGGTGGGAACCATCGGTGGACATCTCCAGGGAAGTCTGGCAGCCGAGGCACTTGGGGACAGACTGGACCAGGCTTGAAGTTGAATCTTCAGTCATACAAATGTTCACGCCCCTGACTGCTGCCCGTTTGCCGGGAGCAACGCCCCAGCTAGCTGCAAAGGTACCACAAGGTTCGGAAACAGCTAAGACTGGGATTTCAATTAACTTCCATTAAAATTCCCCATACCAGTGCAACTGATTTGCCAAGATCAGGTGCATGTTCAGGTCAAAACAACATCACAGCTGGCTACAGCGTGCTTTTTGCATTGGCTTTCCCAGTTTCAGGCGCGCGCCCTCATTGAGGGCCAGGCCCCCCCAAAGAAGCCCCAATTCTTTGGGCGTATTGGCCAAGGCCCAGCAAGCAGAGAACCAAAGGACATTCAACAAGGCTGGCCAGAGATGAGATTCAATTCGGAAAGCCATCGTGCACAAAGAGACACATTCCGCTTGTCAATTTGGATTCAAAATATCTTCTGTGGCCGTAGCCCCTTCAAATTCCAAGAGCTCCGTTGTGCAGCCCATGAAACACATTCTACCCTGCCCGAATAGCAAAGGATAAGCCAGTGTCATCGATACAGCGTGTATCAGCCATGGCGCTAACAGCGCAAACGCCCGTTTGCTTTTTTACACCATGCGCCGAGATGCAGGGCAACCCTGCTGGCAAGCAACCGCTTGTGCATCAGGCTGCTGCCACTGTCATGCTGGCTTCATTGAAGTGAACATTGTCCTGATGTGGCGATTCGGGTGTACCCTTCGGGTGCGCGCCGTGCTCCGCGTTCCTCCTGACGTGCCAGAGGCCTAGGGGAACAATACTTCCAAGGCCGCAACCCGCAACTTGATTCTAAACTGACTTCTGAGTGCTGCAGTGGTCATGCTTGGCACTGCTGTATGCCGCTGCTGCAACCAGAACTTTGTCCCCAAACTTGTGCTCATCGTCCTATTTCTGAGCATGACCCTTGGTTTTGTCCAAGATGTTTCAAGAAATGCAACGGAGCGCCAAAAGGACAAAGCAAAAGCCCCATTAGGGACCCTTACATTACACACCTGAACATTGCCTTGTAAATGGTTGTTTCCCTTTATTTTGGTGGAAAAAGCCATGTTTCAAATGGGCAAAAGGTATCTTTTAAGGAGCCCTGCCCATCCTCTTCGATTTGCGGGGTCTGCTTCTGGCCTTTGAGGGAGTCGCAGGCTCGGCGCGGGCATCGGGTGAAACGCTACAAAGCTTGGATGTTGCCTGGCAGGGCACACATCCCAACCCCCCCCCCCAGCCCCCCCCCTCCAAGCCCACCCAAGGCCCCAAGACCGAAGGCTTCGTACCGTCTTTCCTTTACTGGCGGGTCTCTGGAAGGCTGCCATCTGAAAAGGGCCGTCCATTTTGCGGAACCCTCCACGTGGCTGCTGCCAAGCACTGGCAAACCCCTCGGAAAAAATGGGCCAACCTGGCAAGTGGAACTGTGGATATATATAGCTCCCAGGTTCACAACTGGCTTGCTTCAACCCCGCCCGCCCCCCCGGCAACACCCACACGCAACATGGACTTTGAGGTCAAATTGGGCCAGCATGCTCGCCACTGCATGCCGAAGGACAAACTCTCCACATCTCCAAGCCTGGGGTTTCACTGGTGAATGACTAGAATCTGAATCAGTGGAGTCCGTCTATGCTGAACCAGGCTGACCGAAAAGAGCGCGGTTCCCAGCACAGGTCCCCATCAAACCCAATTTATCATCCCCTCAAAAATATCACTGGACTTCGCCTGCATGTGACGAGTGGGTTCCAGTGAAACTTTTTGTTTGGGTTTCAAAAGGCCGATCTTACTCATTCCCGTGCCCGGCCATGCCAGACCAAGGCGCAAGCTCAATACGAGGGCTGCGGGAGGGGCTGGCTGCTGTGGCCGTACTCCTTGTACTTGTCCCTGGCGGACCTGAGCCCCAGGAATGACTCGACTTCATGACTCGACTTGGGACTTCCTGCGCCAAAGTGTCCACTTTTTGATCAGCTTCCGTCAAATTGGTGCTTGGGATTGGTGGTTTGCTTCTTCTTCCGGGCTCCGAGAGAAACTGGCCTCAGCAAGCCAAACAACACCACAAAGGACTGGACGGAAAAACGACCTCGGCAGGGTCGAAACGCAAAAAGATGTCGCTTTTTGTGCAGCTTCCCTCAAAGTGGTGGTTTGGAGCCCAGATGGTTTGGGAGGTCCAGATGGATGGTTTTCAGGGCCAGGGTCCATGCTCAAACCACCAATCCAACCCAGAAATCCAGCCACCAATCCAAACCACCAAATTGGGGGTGACCGACCCGATTTGCTGAAATTTAAACTGGAGAACAAAGTAGGCGCCAAAAAAAAACCATGGGCAAAAAGGACGCAAGCGCGTCTAGCAAGTCAATTGCGCTTGGACCCTGTGGGCATCATTTAGAAAGATGGGATGTGAGCAAGCATTGCATGTACGAAGAATTGCCTAATGCCAAAAATACAAAATGCCTGGCCACTGCGGTTGACCACAGATCTGGGTACATCACAATAACTCATCCACCTCTTGGTTGCTGTTGACCCCCCTGCAAAAAGTTTCACTTTTTGGGGGTTTAGTGGAAAACACCTCTATTTCCAAAAAAGTTAAAGTCTAAAGATCCAACCCAATAGCAGTCAAGACCTGAACCCAGGGGAGCCTCCAGAGTCATGGTGGTTGCGCGCGGCTTCTCATTGCAGGGGGCTTGCCGCACTTTGGCCACGAATTTCAGGGAGAACCGTCAGGCCGAAACAACGCTGTTTGATTGGCCCCTGGCGTCCGACGGCACATAATCCACCACCCCGTCTTGAGCTCCGGGGCATTGCACGGCCGTTGGCGTTGCCATTGCCACCTTTTCGCCCCTTCGGGCGTCCTGGCGGCCGAAGGGGCTTGAGTCATGAATGCACTCCGAGTTTCCGGACATGGCGAGAGGCGACTTTGTTAGGGTGGGGCCACCCATTAGTTTAAACATGTTTAAACCACTGGTTATGATGATTCTTCCCTTGTAAAGGTGGTGGTTAAACCATATGCTGCCCCACCCAGGACTTTGTAGATTGACACACTTCGCTTTCCTCTCGATGGGCGTCTTCTGCAGTCGCTGGATTGGATAGCAAGCGGCCAAGTCAAGTGCTGGGGTCCGACAAGCAAAATCTTCGGCACTGAAAGACGGAGAACGGTCGCTCTCTTGCTGACGCTGCGCACAGGCAGTTTGACCTTCAGAGGGGCACACATCTCAAGTATTGACTGCAAGCGGATCTGGAAGGGAAGGCCTGAGTCCATTCAGCAAAGGAAGCTAAACATGGTGTGCTCCGATTTTGCAGATGAGTAAAAGAGCCCAACAGTAAAGCTACCAGCTTAGGCTGCCCCGAGCCCCCTGTCTGCCCCCAGCCCCCCAATCCCATGAAGCTTGGTACCACTCCTGTCGCCACACAAAAACCTAGGTCCTCCAGTAGAGAGGATAGAATAAGGGTACCCTTCTTTCTGACGTCTATATTCGTAGGGGAACCCTCCCCCAAAAAAGGGTAAAAGGGCACTACTGGGGGACCTCGTCTTTTTGGGGTCGGGCACGTGAATGGCTGACCCGCTCAGAATAGTTGTCCAAGCACCCTAGGACCAAGGGATCGAGAAACGCTTTGGGGTTGGGGCTGTGAATGAGACCTAGAAAGGGCAGCACTGGACCTGGAAATCCCTTCAGGAGCCCACCCTCAGCACCACGCCCCCGCGAAAACCACCGGCCGACCGCCCAAAAAACGCCCTCGGCCTCCCTCGGGAGGTCGCCGCGGCGTGGGTGGCGCCGACTGGCCCTGGCAGGGCAGCCGGTGGCAGCGGAACGATCCCAAGCAAACCTAGGCTGTCCTCAGATCCCCCGCTAAAAGCTTAACTTTTCGTGGGCTAAATACGGAAATCCAACCACTACACACACTCAAAAGCTAAAAAGCTAAGGAACCGGATGGCTGGGAGCCACCAATAAACATGGAACATTCTCACTTGCCCAAAGGACCTGGAAATAACAGTTGAAAACCTTTTGGGGCCATGGCCACTTATGGACCAATATGGGACAACCATAAGGTCAAAAGGTGGCTGTGAGTGAGCAGAACAATGAGCAACGCAAGAGCCTCAAGAACGGAAACTCGAGAGTTGGACCATTGATGAAGGACATTGGCCTCTCTTCAATTTTGGCCCGTCTCCCGTTGATAGAGCAGACACCCCTCCAAGGAATGAAACGAAACTGCGCAGGCTCCCTCGCCAAAAGGGAAGTTGACAGCAAAGCAAGATCTCCGCTCGGCGATGTCTTGTGGCAGGGCAAGTGTTCCAACTGGCTGCTGTCAAATCCGTCCAAAGGCTCAAAACCCCGTCCCCCCAGTGAACATCCCAATCCCCGCTAACATTGACTAAAATGGGTGGTGCACCTATCCCAAAGTGGGATCCCATTGGTTTTGAACCATGGCCACATCTCATTGGTCATCTCCTCCTGGCCCACAGGGGTTGTCACCACCAAGATTCAGGGAGAGCTTGCTTACAAAAAAAGGCGTGGTGGCTGCCTCGCTTGGCAAAGAAACGCCCTAGCTGACCAACAGAAACTACGGCTCGCCGTTGACAAAGGACGCACGTGGGTGAAGATCAACTCCCTGATGGCAGTATGAGTGGCCAGGCAAGAAGGCTTTCCAGGCATCACTTTGCGGCTGACCAAGTGACCAAGCTTCCTGGAAGACTAACATTCCAAGCTCCAAGCCATCCAAGCCATGTACCCACAGCTCTGCGCATGCACCAGCCCCACACCCGGCCGCATCGGCTGCATACTCCGCGCCCGCCTTGGCACTTGGAGGGGGACCTCTGCTCATCTGCTCCTGGCTCGCGTCGAAAACGCGACCCTTTGGTTGCCACAGGATCGGGATGGCCTGCGGGCGCTAGGATCGGAGTGCTGGGGTTGCCGATGGCAAGTAGGCTACCCACACCCTCGCTCGCATTGTTTTTGCCAAAAGCCGTCGACCGCCAATCCAGGGCCCCAATGAAAAGCTGGCAAAGGGCCCTCGACCTGAGGATGGAACAGAGGTTGCTCCCTCCAAGGAGCTGGCATCAAAGGGGTCTCAAAGCTACGTAAAGGGTCAAAAAGGCAGCCGCACCCGAGACATGATCAAAACCTGGTACTAAAATGGTCTATTCAGAACCATGTAAAGAATTAACCAGGCGGCTGCTCCCATTTCTGGGTGCGATTTTCCCTCACTAACCTCCATCTGCCCAGGTCTTGAGGATGCGGTCGTTACTCTCCCCTGGCGCTCGAGGCGCTCCCGCGCTCCGGCCTCATCGAAGCTGTGGAAGCCCTGGACAAGAGAGGCAGGGAAGCAGCTCAACACCTGGGAAGACCTGGGTAAGTGGAAACCTTTGGCTGCTGAGTCACTGAGCAAGGCGCGAAGAGAGCCGTTGACCCAACATGTTGGTGGCTGATTACCATACCACTCCAAAAAGCCCACCCCTCCCCCCTCGCAGAACAAGTGGGGGGAGGGTGGTTCTGAGTCATTCGACATCAAAAGGCACCCCTCCGACATTTGGGTGTGTCTTAAAATTGGGAACCCCCCAAAATGGTGGGTTACACACCCATTTGGGCATGGGTCAAAATGAGTCACCACCAGGAATCGGACCGCAGGTTTTGGTCGGGTCCATGTTTCCACAGCCAGGACCGGTAGATCAGCTGCTCTCGTGGCTTGGCGGTTTGGATTGGGGGTTGTGGTTAAGGAGGGGTTTCCTATTTATCAGCTAAACACTCCCCCGCAAATGTCCATGGAAACCAGAAAAAACACCATTTGTAGAGATACCCTCCCACCTTTTTCACACGAAATCTGACTTTCGGGACCCGGTCCCTGTAAAAAAGGAAAATTGTCTTCCAGGAACCTGTCAGGTGTTAGTTGATGGGAGGGTAACTCCTGGTAAATCAGCTTCCCTCGTGGTTTGGTGGTTTGGATTGGGCGTTCCCATGTGCCCTCTAAAGTTTGTCCCTTCCCGTCTATTCGAAGTTTGATTGTACCGCTTCAAATCCCTCTGGCCTGGTGTGGCATAGGTGTCATTTTCCAAAAACATCGAAGATCAGAGGCTGAACCAAGGATCAACCAAGGAAACCTCTTTGACCTTGAAGGCTAGCTTTACACCTCCTTCCATATGGCTCGACTAGACGTTGGGTATAGGCTTTGGTCAAAATTTAGAGCTACTCCAAACCACCGGCTTGATTGGCATCAGTTGGTCAAGGCTTCTGGCCTGGTAACAACGCCATGCTGAGTTGATCCTCCAATGACAGTCCGGGCTCCAGGTCGCAGAAAGCGGTTGGCGAGTAACAACGCAGGTGGCTTGCATGCAATCGGAATTGCCAACTGAGAGGCACCAACTTCATCTCAGCAGGCAAAGAAGTAAAGGCAGCCAAGGCCCCACCCGGCTGAAATGGCAACGGTGCGCTCTGATAAAGGCCCGTGCGAAGCTATCCGAGAAATGACCCGCTAGTGGTCGCTTAAGAGAGGATCTTGATTGGCTGTTCTGATGGGAGAATGGAGTCCAGAAAGAGGTTGCTGATAAATCAGCTTCCCTCGTGGTTTGGTGGTTTGGATTGGGCGTTCTCATGTGCCCTTTACAAAAGCCAGGGATTCAAATCCCCAAACCACCAATCCAAACCACCAACTAAGGGCTACCTGAGTAAAGGGGGCAAACAAAAACATGTACATGGGCGGCCGCACCGATTTCTGGCTGGGTCTGTCCCCTTCTGCTCGAAACTTGATTGTGACACCGCTTCAAATCCCTTCTCCGGACAAATCCCCGTTTCTCCTGGCGCGCCTGAGAGGTCCAAATGGACGGCAGCTGCTGGGTGCCCGCCTCCGACGCTTTTCCGTCGTGGCGGATCCTCGGCGCGAGGCTCATATGGAAGAGGTGACCTGGAGGCTATGAGGGTTGGAGGCAGCTAGGTAGGTAGGTAGGTAGGTTAGGTTAGGTTAGGTTAGGTTAAGTTAGGTTAGGTTAGATTGCGCTAGGTTAGGCTATGTAGGTTAGATGGTATCTAAGTCGGTACGCAGGTGGGTAGGTAGGTAGGTGGGCAGGTGTCTTTTTGTTTTCGGTCTCTCCAGCCTTGCAGCCAGGGGTCATCACTGAGGGCTTGGAGGCTTCTATTTTTCTGAAGGAGTGGTTCAGGTTGACCTTTTTTGTAGGTTCGGGCTGTCAAAATCTTAGCCTTGCTTCAGCTCCTAAGGCGAGAATGAGCTATGGATTTCCAAAGCCAGCCCCAACAGGTTGGCCCAATTCAGCGGGCAAAAGCGCCCGCAGACCTCCATTCCGCTGGCCTGAAGGCACCAGGGGCAAAGGGTGGGACACTGGAAACTGGTTCCGCGTTCCAGGTCAGCAAGAGTTCTTTCTCCGCACTCTGACTAATCCAAAAAACTAGGTTGCTTACAAAAACTTTCGACCATGTGCGCGTTTGTTTGCGCCCCCGATATGGCCCAAGTCATCTCATGTTTCCCGCAAAGTTGAAGTGCGACCGTGCATCTTCATCGTGGCCACGTCCGACCGCTCCAGGCGAACATCCTGGTGCAGCTGCAACAGGCAACTGGCTCAGAGCTCCAGCCCTCCCCATTCTTTCCATCACGGCCTGGTTTAGAAAACCGCCAGTACTGACTTTCTACTTTCTCGAGGAAATCAGCAAAGCAGAATCGCCCTCAAAGGAGCAGATTCGTCCTTGGAGTTCTCCGTCAGCGACTGCGTGGCTCCTGACACCGCAGCAAACGGAACATTTGCAGACTATCGCACACTGCTGCGCTGGAAGAAGCGGGACAAAAAACGCTGATCGCAAATTAAAGAATGGCGCTGCAAGGTGTGGCACGTGTCCGGAGAAAAGGCGACCTGCTGCGTGTTTGTTTTTCTTTTGGCGCGGGTGTCATGCCGAAGAGAGGGCCAACAATAGGAGTAAACCTCGGCCTCCATGCCCCCATCATCGCCTCCCGCCCCTTTTTGCACCCGGTCCTGGCTTGAACTCGCTGCTCTCTACACGGGAGTTCTCCAGCTGACTACCTCACGCCCAAAAAAAAAGAGAGAACACAAATTCTGACGGTTGATTCCTTGTCCATTCTTTTCAGACCATCCTTCCTTTAAAAAAAAACGGAGCCGTTTTCCCGAAAATTTCCAGGGGTTTTCTAGAATCCAGATCCCTGGAAAGAATGGATTCGGATTCGCGCCTGGACCCTGGGGGCAGGGAGATCCAAAAACTCCAACCCGAAACCACGCGGAAAATTCCAGGAGACCGATTTTCTCACTTCCGTGGGGCCGACAAAAGGTGCAACCTGGCTGTGTACCACTAAAATGGTCTTTGTACCACTAAAATGGTCTTATTTACCAACCTGGTTGTTCACCAACCTGGTTGTTTACCAACCTGGTTGTTTACCAACCTGGTTGTTTGCCGACCTGGTTGTTTACCACAAATCTAGCTCAGGGAGTGGAATTATGTACGACCAAGGTGCGAGATGGCCTAACAGCCCACTGCTCACAAAGAGGCCTGCCTTTGGTCTCAACTCCTTTAAGTTCCCAAGGTCGCCCGAACCAGCACTCCGCAGAACTCAAGCAGGCGCCGAGCCCAGGTTCGCCAAAAATCCACCCCAAAGGAAACTCCGACTCTCAACCCCCCCCCCCAAAAAAAAAAAAAAAACAATCCGACTTAGGATTGGCAACCAAAGGTGATGTTTGAAAGCAAAGGGGACGCATAGGGGCCATGCTCCTGTTGCCATTCTGCCAGGTTGGCAAGAGGGAGACCTTGCTCTAAACCTCTGGGATCAATCCAAACCAAAACCCCTAACCCCTAAGCACCAAGCTGAAGGGGGACCTCCATGTCGACCCTGCAAAAAGTGCTCAACTTGTTGTGGCTCCAGGGAAAATCCTTCCCCTTTCCGCCAAAAAGTGGTTAAAGTCCCAAGATCTGCATTGTTTTAACTATACTTCCAGAAGCTGAATTCAGCATATCAGATTTTCAAGTACCCTCCCACCAACGAACATGGAAGTGCAAAAAGGCCCTTTCCAAGAGGAAAGTAGTCTGAGGGTAAAGGGCCTTTCTCATGGCGTCGCTCCAAAAATCGGGCAGATCCAGCTGAGAACACGGCCATCAGCTGCTGAGCTGCTGAGGGCCTTGGCCTGCTGGGCCTCTTCGATCTCCAGCACCAGCTCCACGGACTCATCCACCGGGTCGATGACGTTCCTCAAACGAAACTGAGGCTGCCGTTACAGGGCCTCTGCATATGTTTATATATATATATATATATATATGTGTGTGTATGTACACGTGTATATATATATATATATATGCGCGTGTGTGGGAATACGGGGTTGCGGGGAGGTCCTGTAAAATCTAAATATACAGCCATGCTGCCTAAACTGGCCCCATTATTTTACCAATGTCAAATTCAACCCCCTAGTGCCCAGTGGTGGGTTAAAGGGAAAACCCAGTTTCTGACGTTGATAACCCCTACAAACAGCCAAAATAAGAACCCCAGCTAAAGGGCCTCTGAATACAAATGGGAATGAAGCGAAATATCCAGCCATCATAGGCCAGAAGGTGGCTTGAATACTAGGCTGCCCTCAGATCCCCCGCTAAAAGTTTTTAACTTTCAGTGGGTGAAATGGAAACTACCACTAAACACTAAAAAGCTAAAAGGCTAAGGGGATGGCTGGGAGCCACCAAGTGAATACCACTGGAAATGCATCGAAATATCCAGCCATAGGCCAGCAGGTGGCAAGATGACCATTTTGCTCCTCATATGAACCTTTTACGGGGATGGAAAGGGAAGTGAAAAGGAATCCACGAACCCTTGTTTTTGGGAGCTTCTACGGACCATGTGGCCAACAGAGGATCGCCCATTTGAATTCCCGAACCTCCAGACAAGAATCAAACGTAAGCTTGGTTCCTTTGCAGCAAGTTTATCTTTTTGTGGCTCCAATGGAAAAACCACTGTTTCCCAAAAAGTTAAAGTCCAATGATAAGTTACAAAAATAGCCAAGCCTACTCTCAGTTGGTTGGTTTAGTTGTCTTCACGCGGTTCCGTGCCAATATGGCTTGCCGCTCCACGGTTGCCGTTGGTCAAAACAAGGAACCCTCTTGTGGTACTCACTTGCTTAGGAAGGCACAGTTTGAGAGAGCTGCATGGTGGGTGGAACGCATTGCAATTAGCCCACGAAGAAGTGGCCTAGCTTAGTCTGCTCTTACACTGCTGCGCTATCATCCTTGAGCACAAAAGGTACCTAATCATGTGTCACTTGAATTTTACCAACCAGGAGTCATGTGTCGGAGGGTTCGCGCAGCCTAACATGTTGATATATGCATGAGTATCTCTACGTTTACCTTTCTTCAACGACTCATATTTATACAAATGACACCTACGAATGCCCCCCACTCCTGTTTGTGGTGGAAGACGTCCCTCCCCAGCTTGCCAGCCAAGCTGCTCAAACCGCGCAAAGTTCACGCGGCCGACGCAACTGGCGTTGCGGTGACGGCCCCCCTTTCATAACCCAATCCTTCCAAAACAGGGATCCTTACAGTATACACCTGAACATTGCCTTGTAAATGGTGGTTTCCCTTTATGTTGGTGGAAAATGCCATGTTTCAAATGGGCAAGATGTATCTTTTAAGGAGGCCTGAAAAGGATAGAGGCATCTTGTTTGACGCGCCTGGGCGAATAGTTCGCCGGCCCGGCCGGCATCCCAAAAAACGAACCTTCATCAACAAAAGTCCCCTGCACGAGGGCGCCAAGACTTGCCTATGGCCCGACTCGAAGACTACTTTGGGGTTGCGCGAAAAAATCGGGGAGGTATAGGCCTAGCAGACTCCCCAACGTCAGGTGTGCCAAATTGTGCTTTCAAGAAAGCAGATGCCCAAACCAACAAAAGGGGAAGGACATGGGTCCATTACACACACATAACAATATATATCTGACGAATACATAAAGACTGTGGCAGCACACGTCATGGCCACGGCTCGAAACCTTGGGATGCTTGGGACCAAAGAGAAGGGAATACTTCTTGCACAGGCTGCCGAGCACGTCAAGCACCGACCACAGGTTTCCATACTGCGAGCGGGCATCGTCTAAAGAAGGGACGGCCAAGAATCAATCAACGTCATGGTTGTAGGTTAGGTTGCCGTTGACCCCCCTGCTCAAAAAGTTCAACTTTTCGGGGGTTTAGTGGAAAACACCTCTATTTCCAAAAAGTTAAACTCTAAAGATCCAACCCAATAGCAGTCAAGTAGGATGCAGTCTTGGGGTGCTGCATTCATGGTCGCCTCCGTGCTTCGCCCAATGTTCCTGTTCCCACTTGGGTTGCGCAAGCCAACCATGGTAAGTGGCAGCCTGGCGCTTTGAAAGCGAATTCTCCTGTTCTGGCGCCATCACGCACTTCCAGCGGTCGGAGGAACTACTCTACATAGTCGCTATCCCACAACAGCCCGCTCCGCTTGTACTCAGTGAGTACCTTTATGCAACCCTTTCTCAGTTCTTCAGCGGACCCTGACAGAGAAAAAGGCATATTTGCAGGGTTGACTACATTGAAGTGGGGAAGCCCATCAACCAAAACGCCCCAACAAAAAAAGGAAAACACGAGAACCAGAAAAAAGACGACCCCGTTCCCCGACTGCGCGTTTTTGGCACCTGGAAAAACCGCCTGGCCGCCCGCCCCGAACTCCGAAATCCCTCGAAGCCTCGAGGCGCTGGGGCCCCGGGCTCCGGCTGCTCCGCGGGCTCGGGCCGGGCCTCGCGGCGCCAGCGCCCCGCCCAGAGCCAGCAGCGCAGGGTGCAGCCCGGGGGGCAGCTCAGGAAGAAGGAGCAGAAGCCCGGGCGCGCGCCTGATGGATGGATGGATGGATGGATGGATGGATGGTGGGGTGGGGTGGGGTGGGGTGGGGTGGGGTGGGGTGGGGTGGGGTGGGGTGGGGTGGGGTGGGGTGGGGTGGGGGGTGGGGTGGGGTGGGGTGGGGTGGGGTGGGGTGGGGTGGGGTGGGGTGGGGTGGGGTGGGGTGGGGTGGGGTGGGGTGGGGTGGGGTGGGGTGGGGTGGGGTGGGGTGGGGTGGGGTGGGGTGGGGTGGGGTGGGGTGGGGTGGGGTGGGGTGGGGTGGGGTGGGGTGGGGTGGGGTGGGGTGGGGTGGGGTGGGGTGGGGTGGGGTGGGGTGGGGTGGAGCGGGTGGGGGGTGGTGGGTGGGCGGGGCGGCCTTTGGCGGCTTCTATGGGACAACTACTGGGGTGGCGCAAGCGAACTGCCAGCTTCTCTCCCTGTCCAGGATCGAAAGAACCGGCCAGCAAAAAACTAAGGAGACAAACGTTGAAGCCCCACGATAGGGCAGAAACCAATCATCCCATAACCAGCAAAGCGTAAAACATCCAGGCTTCCAATCCTCCTGCCACTATGGCAGGAGTTTCGGGCACCCAAAACATGAGCATGTTTTACACATAAACCAGCCACGCCAGCTCGCGGTGAAACAAGAGCCTTATTTCACCATGATCAAACTGATTCCCAGGTCGCTGGCAAGGGGGGGGGGGGGCCAGAGCCCAAAGACTAGTTTTGACAGCCATTGACAGCTTCAAAAGTTGCAACAATCCCAAGGCCTAAAGCAAGGCATCCCCGAGCAAAGAACTTGTGTGGCAAGCTCGCTTACCCCCAAGCGAGCTCAGCAGAATATCGCGAGCGGACCTCCCTAGAATCCTTCGCCCCCACCTGCGCAGCCCTGCGGGTAGAAGACCAGCCTCAACGCGATGAGATCGCGCGGGCCAAGCTGAGAGAACAACAAATCATAGCCAGCACAGGCGACCCCAAGATAGAAAGAACTAAACTTTCAGCGTCTGAAGGAGTTCCAGGTTCCATTTTCAAGGTGCACGAAGCAGTTCAAATGGCCGGAAGCTGACCACCGCAGAGCTTGTCTTGGACCCTGCCCGTTCCCTTGCTCCCACGACCCGTTGCACGCAAGGAAGGGCAAATGCCGTCAAAGCCCACAACTTAAATGGGCCCATAAAATGTCCCGACCGCAGGTGCGCACAAGAATGCCACTCCAAACAAGACATAGATAGAGTCACTCCTTTGTTTGTACATTGTCTTTTATATATGTAAACACTTCAGTACCTGTCTTCGTGGATAGGTTTGTACATGCATGTGGGCAATGACATAGACGTGCACATTCAGCATGCAACTTCGGACTCAAGTCCCAGAACTGCCGGCACAAGGCCCGCAGTCCTGACTCCCCATAGCTGAACGGAACTTCCGACCAGAGGCTAATTAGAATTCATCCAGGGGTACCTTCCCCATGAAATCCGAACCTTTCAAGAAAACCTGTGGAAAACCAGGGAAAACGCATCCAGTTGTTGGAAAGACGGTGCTTGAAACGAATGGGGAACCAACCCCTAGAATAGAAGGAAATACCAAGCTAACAGTGGGCGTTCCCCACAGCAAAGCTGCAAGCCAAAGCAGATGCCAAAAAGCAACAACTCGATCTTGCAGACCATGGCCGCGCAAGTGGCTGAGTCACATGCCGCTAAGTGGCTCGAATCTAATCCCGAGCTCGGCTCGAGGCCCGAATCACCGGCTTCTCTTTGCAGGGTTGAGACCAGAGACCGCCAGTCCAGAAAGTCAAAGGCTTGCCACTTCTTGGTTGACGTTGGAAAGGGGGCAACAGTTCTCAAGTTTTAGCAGTTAGATGGATTTGGATTTCCACCACTAAACCACAATACACAAAGATGGGCAAAATGTTTCCTAACAACAACCATGACTTCTCTCTCAATGGCCACCGATTTGGTTTGCTCACTGTGCCGCGTTAGTTAAATTGAGGCTGCCAAAAAAAAAAAAACAAAAAAAAAACTCGGAGGATAATGCCAGGCGGCTGCATGCCGCTGATACCTGCTGCCTGGAAAGCAGTGCTGCGCACAGCCTGGCAAATGGAACTGGGTTTCTTAAAGATCTAAACTCAGTTGCCCCGTCATGGTACTGGCCTCATTATTTTACCATGATCAAAGTCACCCCCGTTCAGTGGTGGGTTAAAGGGAAACAACCGAATCCATTTTCTGACTTTGATAATTCCCAGTAACCGTCGAAATAATGACACCAGTGCTAGAAAAACAAAACGGTGCCACAACTCGCAAAGGCCGCCCACGGGCACTCAAGGCGTCAGTGGGCGTATGACACGGCTCCAAGGAAACCACTGCTTTGAGGTTTGGTTGCGTTTTACCATCCTGGTTTTCAGAGGCGAACCCAAGAAAGTGAAACACAAGCTACATGAGAAACGGCCAAAGAGGAATATCCTACGCTTGAGGCGGGGCTCCGCGAAGAAGCTCTGCTCCTTCGCAGCCCTCTGGACGCGACCAAACAGCTGCGACCGTCATGTCGGCTGCCTGGCCCCTCGAAACGTGTCTTGTCCATTGCCCAGGCCCTGATGTAAGGATTCAATCTTTGGGTCCCGATTGGAAGCTGTGGCCAAGCAGTGTTCGGTGTTTTTTTGTTAGTGGATTAGCCTTCAAAACATGCGGCAAATCTCGTAGGTCCTTACATATCCCAAAATTCAAATCCACATGACACACCTACTGGCCCCATAGCCCGGATTTTGGCCCCCCTGTACACCCCGTGTACAACCCAAAAATCATGGTGTATGGAAATATGTCTATTTGGAGATGCAACTAGGGCCTTCGAACGTCGCGCAGAATCACGTGCCACAAGGGCTGAATAAACAAACTAACATCGTACCCTCCCTCGAATGCATGCCAGCATGAGACCATCACTCGGCATCAGGCAACAGCATCAAATGTTCAGAGATCCGCTTGACACAGCATGTGCTGGCACCCTTTTTCAGCGCGCACCCGCCTACAATCCATGCAAAATCCAAAAAAAACTGCGCCTGGCGCCCTTTTGTCAGCGCCCTCGCCTACAAAGCATGCCATGATTAGAGTTTCCACCAGTTATAGAATGTATTTTTTGCTGGTTGCTTCACTTTGAGTCACTGGTAAAATTGTAAAATGTATCCTAGGTCTACAAAAAAGATGCGAATCCCAGACCCCCAGCGACTTTTCCCCCGGCGCCTGATCCTTGGCGAAGGATAAGAGCAAGGGCCCGTTCTCCAGACGCCACTGCACCCGTCGGATGGCCCGGGACCGCATCACGTCCACCTGCTCCGTCTCTGATGGACGGTTTAACGGTTTGGAGCCCGGTGCTTTGGTGGGTTGGAGCGGTGGCATTGTTTTTTTTGCTGTTTTTTTTTTCAAATCTAAACCTCAAGAGGTTTAGAGGTTAACATCCCCAAGCAACCAATCCAAACCACCAATTGAGGGTAACCCTTTGCGTGCGTGTGTGCGCACCCTTGACGCTCGCAAAGTAAGCATGTCAGCATATCCCTGAACATTTTGAAAGCGCAAGAAGATCAACTCACAAGGGTCTGGATGCAACAAGCTAACCTTCTAGAGCCTTGGCTCCAAACTTCTCAAATGGAAACAAGACGTCAGGAGGTCGGCTATGGGCAAACGCAGCCGCTCTTTTCGACTGTATTGCTAGCATGCAGGCCATGAACGCTGCTGAGTTGGACCCCCAACCACGATGCCTGGACAATAGACCCACGCCAAAAGGCAAGCAAATCACGCATCAGCCCAGAAAACAATCTGGAACCAACACAAGCATCATGCCCCGCATGGCAACTCAGCAGCCACATCTTGAATTTTCGCCGGGCCCTGTCGCGAAAGGCGGGCCGGGGGCCGCAGGCAGCCGTCGCCGTTCCGCGATTCCGCGCGCCCGGCGTGCGAGCGTGCGATTTCTTGCATCGGCGTGCCCAGTGAACGAGCTGGGTTGGAAAACCTAAGCTCTCGGCAATATCCCAGCCCGCCGGATCAGCACCTGGCATCGCAATGTGCCAGCTCAAATGAGGTCCACAATATCCACCGAGGAGCGCGAGAGTCCTGTCAAAGGCGATTCGCAGGGACGGCCTTTGTGGATGTGGAGAAGCTGCGCAAATGTGAAAGGCCGCGGCAGAGATGTGTGGTCTTACAGTGGTCCATGTGAACAGCCTGCTCACAGCAGTTGCCTGATTGATCATGCATGCGCTGGTGCATGGCCTCCCTAAATAAGCCAGCAACAGTGATATGACAACGCCTGGCTACTTGCCCAGTGGCCAAGAAACTCACTTGCCCAAAGGACCTAGAAGTAAAAGGTTCACCTTTTGGGACCTCTACTAAAAATGGACCAAAGGGGAAACCAAAAGGTCAAAAGGTCGGCTTTGGGCAGGTGAGGAAACGAAAGGATGGCGAAACCAAACGCAACTACAAGGGGGAAGGTGGCCGTCTCCTCCCTTTGGTCCTGAGCCAGGGCTGGGCAAGGCAGTGCTCTGAGAATCGGACAAGTCATCAGCAACAGCAGATTTATTTGTCCTTGCACCTCGCTCAATCTAAATAGGCACAGCATGCGTCAATATGGAGGGACCAAAACCTGGCTGTTTTCCTTGGGTTGCCCTTTGAACTTTATGCCAACCCCTCAAAACGCACACGCACGCACAAGCAAACAAATGGTTTCCTCCCCAAACACGATGAAACTCGTAAAAAAGGCTCTACCCTTCGCGGAGCAATTTTGGCAGACGTCCAAGAGAACATCGGCACCTGGGAAGCGAGTATGGTTCCAGAAAGGTCGTCTCAACAGACCAATCCGGTCTGTCCTCACTATCAACCAAGGTTGAGCCCTTGTCAAAGGCCAAGACAAAGGCACTGGTGCTCCGATTTGGGGGGTGAAGCTGAGCAATCCCCTTAAAGTCATGGCACCAAACAAGTCAAAAGCAAGCAAACTGTCAAATGCACATACGGGCATGCAACTCAAAAGTGCCATTGGTCTTTCCAGCATGAGCATACGTTTGCAGATTGCAGGCTTGAACCCCGCCCCCAACATCCCCAGCTGCACCAGCTGGTTTTCAGATTGAGGCTATAGCATTGCTGTTAAGACGAGAGCGACTGACAAAGCGTGAAATCAGAACCAATGCGATGCCCCACCTTCTGCTACCGTCTACGGCCATACGCCTTTTCCAGGCTCAAGGGTGCCAATCATTTGCCAAAGTCCAGGTTGAGCTCCTTTTGCAGGTGTTAGTCAGGGTGGCACCGTAAATGGATCCTTTTGGTTGTCTAAACTCCCTAAAGGTTTCAGAACCAGCCCTTAGCAGCCCTATTTCAAGGGGTCGTTTGACCATGGCACAAGTTCCAGCGCGTCCTTGCGCCACCATGTCCCGCATTTTGGCGGTCAGGCCGGCAGAAAAGGCCGCCTGCGACTCGACCGCTTGACCGTTTTTTCACGAAAAGACACAGCCCTGAATCCCATTTCAGTAATTCAGTCTTCTCCACAAAAGGGAAAATGGAACCCTAAATGGAATTCCAGGGGTCACCCCCCTCCCCCAATTCCATTTTGAAGGGGGCGGGGATAGCACTGACATGGACCTCACGCGGCCTCACGCGAGACCGGAAAGAAATTTGGCCAGAGCTTGGCGTAAGCGTTGACACAGAAGACGCAAGCACATCAAGCACTGCTGGCAGATCTTCGAGTGACCCAACGAGAAACTTTCCCGAGAATCAATCAGAACGGGAGTAGACTACAGCACTAGATTAGTAATCTCACTGGCTGAGTGGATGGCCCAAAAAAAGTCCAAACTTTTTCTGTACCACTAAAATGGTCCTCCCAAAAAGGTTAAAGTTCATGAACTCAGGAAGTGAGGATTACAGCTCTGCTTCTTTTGCCGCTTGGATATCAGGCAAGATCGCACGCCTGTAGCAAGTGAACCCTCCCCCGGCGCCGGCCTTCAGCCGCTTCTGCGAGAGGAAGTCCAGGGCCTGCTGCTCCAAGTTTTGGGCCTGACGGGAACGCCAATGTGGGCTCGGTTGCTGCAACGACCCCCCAAAAAGTGAATCACTTTTTGGGGGGTTCGTGGAAAACCCAACTTGATTTCCCACGTTGCCCAATAGCAGTCAAGTGGGAGTGGAACGGAAGGTTGGGCGGTCTGCCGCCATGCTGGTATCAAAGGGTTTGGGTACGGGAAAATCTGCAGGAAACGGCCCCAAAGCACCCTTTTCTCAGCTGCTTTCCTGTAGACCCTTTGACCGTTGGCCCTGTGGAGGAAAAAGCCGAAGATTCCATGAGCATGGGGTGACCTGCAAGGTACAGGACAAACCGCAGAAGCGGTCATGCAGGAAGAGCACGGCAAATTGCGACCAACGTCTTGCTTAGCTCAGGATGTCGTACAAGCCGGCTATTTCAGAGTCAACTTGGATCACACTCATGTAGAAGGATGGTGCTGGTTTGTCCCCCCTCATTTGAGGGGTCACCCTCCAAGGGGCTGTGACCCCCTCGCTCGTGCAGCTCTGGCCCGTGCACGCCTGACTGAAGGTGAGGGTCTCCCATCGACTCTCGCTCGTCAGCACGGTGAGGACATAGGTCCTGCCGCGCCGGGATTCCGGTCAGCCCAACTTGGCGGCTCTGCTTTTCTCGGATTCAACGAAAAGAAACCCACCCCTCAGACGAATTTGGGAAGGCCACTGTAAATGGAACCAAGTCTTCCTAGGGGGTCTGGGAGCTGCCAGCTTCGCCTGGGAGAGTGCATGTTTCGCACTTTGCCCGAGCACTGCGTTTACAAGGGGCGCCTCCCAACAAAGCGGCCACCCTTGTTGTCCTCATTTTCCACCGCGACAACTACAGAGCGCCGAGCAAAATCGGCCCAAACCCGTCAAAGGCAAATGCCCAGCCCCCATCGCACTGAGCAGTGGTCCACCGCCTAGTTCTCGAAATACTTCGCACGTCTGCCGAGCCTTGCACTCCACCAACACCTCCCCTGCTTCTCTGTCTCTCCCCAACCTATCCAAAACAATTTCCAAAGTCCCACGAGATACCAAAAAACAAAAACGAGATCAAACAACCTTTTGAGATCCCAATGAAGACCACCACCCCCCCCCCCAAAAAAAAAAAAAAAAAAAAAACTCCCCCCCCCCCCCCTCCCCCCTCCCCCTTCCCCCCCCGGCCCCCGGGGCTGTCCTGCCATCCCGCACCGCCTCGCGCCGCTCCTCGCGCCGCTCCTTCGGCAGCTCCCGCGCCGGGGCGCTGCGCGGCGGCGGCGGCAGCTCAGCCGTCTCCCGCCAGCCTGGCTCCGGCGAACCCCCGAAGAAGCCACGCAGGACGCCCAATAGGGGAATGAGGGAATGAGGAGAATTGGAATGACCCAACTGGAGGACCCAACTAAAGGACCCAAGTGGAGGAAGGTGCGAGAAGGAGGGAATGAGAATTGGAATGAGGGAACCACACGGGATCCCCAAATCCCCAAGAGGGAATGAGGGAATGAGGGAATGAGAATTGGAATGACCCTTTTAAACCATCCGACTGGTGATTTCCTTTAATTAAGGGGATCTCTGGGTGCATCCCAAAGTCTCAACTGAGCACCAGGAAGGTGCTGACCCTGGTCGACCCAAACCCTCGCTCCAAGTCAGGCCAGAATGTGAAAAAGGTTGGGCTTCGTGACCTTCGTGCGCATCCTCGGGCAAAGCTCCTCATCAAACGCATCAAACATCTTGGTATCAACGCAGCGTCGATTAACCTTCCAGCAGTACGATTCTTTCACCAAACCTTGCAGGTGAGCCAACCAAATCCCGCAACACCCAGGACACGTGCTGTAAATTGGAAGCCGTCCCTTGTCAACAAGGCCACCCACCTCTGCCCCGCAAAAATTCCCGAGCAGTCCCGGGCGACATCGCCCGCGCCTGCACGCATGCGCTCAGGGGAGCCCACGGACAAAGGCGAGGAGATGGCGCTCCTCGCCTGCGGCAGCTGCAGGCGGCCCATGTTCACCACCACTCGCTCCTCCACCACCCGAGTTGTGGCCTTGTTCCAAAAAAAAAAGAAGGGCAGGGCAGAAGGGCGACCACGTAGCCAGAGAAAAGGCATTGCAAGTTGTTTTGGAGGTTGCCCGTGGGAGGCGCTGGGGTGCATCCTTCAAACCCTCGAAGAGGGGTAGGGACGGAGCCGAGGGAAGGCAAGGCATGACTCAAACTTAAGTGATTGCCACATGATCCAATGCCCATCCCCAACGGTTCTCACATGAGCCCAAAGAGATGAGAAGTAAAATGAAAGGTAAATGTGGCAGCTGTTTGGAGGAACTGAA